TGCGTGTCTCTACGTGTGTATGCATGTTATTTGCATACCTTCGGTAGCAATAGATACGAGAGCGAGTCCAGGTGAACGGTGGTGAGGAGAGAGGAAAGAAAAAAGGCAAGTTAAATGGTGTAAGAGTGCGTGCGAACGGCGAGAGGGTGGAAGATGTGAGTGTGCGTGAGAGAGACAGAAAGGTGAGAGAAAGGGGGTGCGTGTGAGAGAAAGAGAGTACGTACAGGTACGTATGGCCGCGTGAATGCTTGAGCGCGTGTATGGTGGTATATCCATTTGGAAGAAAGGAAGGAAGAAAGAAAGAAAGAAAGAAAGAAAGAAAGAAAGAAAGAAAGAAAGAAAGAAAGAGAGGCATCGTTGAGTCGCTGAAATGCTCTTCACATGGTATGGCAAACGAGACCGTAACGGTCCTCTTCGCAGCCAGCCAGTACGGGGATCGAGGCAAAGCCGCGATCAACAGTGAGCAGTAGCGAAAGCGTGCGTGAGAGCGAAAGAATCTGAAGAGGGAACGACGACGAACAAGGGTGGGGACACGGAAAAGCGGGTGCGGCGTAAAACACTTAACATGGGACAGAGTTGACGGACAGCCGGTTCGAATACGGTGACTCTTTTTTGCTGGCTCTACCCTTCCTCTTGCTTCCCCCCACAAATATAGAAATATTATATATATATATATGTATATATATATTATATGTATGTATATCAGTAGTATACATATTATTATACACATTACTATATATATATATATATTATTACTAGAAATAATCTTTTTTAATAATCTACAATACTATAATATAATATAACTAAGCATCGATATATTTAAGTTGGAATGACGTTAGCATAACGTAGTTCTATATAAATGCAATTATATATAAGACGGCCGTAGACGTCGAGAACTGTTTAAAGAAGAGAGCTTTCTTCGTTTCAGACTCGGAGGAGACGTCGAGTGGTGGTGGCTCGCAGTCACCGACTCACATTCGCATCAACTTCGAGCGATGCTTTCGCAAGGAGTACAGCGCGTCGTCTCTCCAAGGGAAAACATCGTCAACGGCAACGACAGCGTCGATGGACGACTCGCAACAATATTCCGATTCCGAATCGGAGCAAAAGGTGTCGAAAGACAATATGAGCAGTGCCATATTTAATCTGGTCGCCGGTGAGTCGGAGATCAGTCAGAGCGACTTCGAAGGATCGTTTAAGGTCGAAAACGAGAGAACCGAAGGTTCGGTGCGAGATTTCTGCGTGAAAGAGGGCGACGTATACCGGTGTACCGTATGCCATCGTACCTACACACACATCAGCAATTTCTGCCGGCACTACGTCACCTCACACAAGCCTAACGTCAAGTACTATCCTTGTCCGGTTTGTTTTAAGGAATTCACGCGGAAAGATAACATGGTCGCCCACGTGAAAATCATACATAGCCTTAAGCCGCACATGAGTCTTAGCAGCAGTGGCAGCAGTAGTATGGGCCAGCAGCGGTAGACCGCTGTCAGTACGTCCTCTCTTCTCAGGCTACGTTCCCTGGCTCTTTCCCTTCGTTCTGTCTCCTGAGAAACGAAAACAAACCATTACCGTTACCGAACGCTCTCTCCTCCCACGCTCCCGCGGCAGCGAGGAACAAGCAAGAGAGAGTTCTCTCAACGGGGCAAAGTTCTATCACTTCGCGCGTCTCGTACAATCGTCGATGAATCGTTGAACAAATCGTTGATCGATTTCTTCGTCGTAGGCAAGAGCCAGGCAACGTTCGCGCGCAAAGGGCAGACGAGAAAAGCGAACGAAGAGAACACAACCAACCGCGTGAAAAGCTCAAGAAAGAGATGCCGAGCGTACGTGTGTCAGTGCGGCTTTCCGTATAAAACTCATGGCTGTAAAACAAAGGCGGGGGTGAGAGGGGGGTGGGCGGGGGCAAAGGAAGAGGAAAAGGAAAAGGAAAAGAAAAGCAAAGTCGCAGTGTTTCGAACGAACGAAGAGAGAACAAGTAGTCGCGTTAGGTTAATTACTTGTAGTTTATAAAGTTAAACAGTAAGTACACGGAGGGTTGGTGTATCGGGGATAAAACTATAGTGAAACGAATCAAGAAAGAGCCATTCGGGATCGGAGTAAATAAAAGATAGTCAGTCAAGCTTCGAACGCTTGATCCATCGTTACATACATAAGATAGTTACGTACGTACATTCGTTTTCTTTTACACATTTGACGAACGTTTGATCAAACGTCAAACGAAAGAAGTCGAAGACGTATCCATATCTTTCCCACGGATATGGAAAGTCACAATCAGTCGTGGACCACGCCGCCATGTTCAATTCAAATAGGCTTATCTGCTCAAAAGAAATACGACTTCCTCTCGGTATTTGAAGATCAAGCATCGAACTGCTTCTTCAGTTTCAAAATGCAGTTGACATTTTCCCTTGCCTGTTGCAGCTGGGAAACAGTTTCTCTGTTTTCTTGATCGATCGACTTTTGGCGAAGCAACAAAATGAAACCGGGATTTTAGACAAACGGACGCATGATATTAAACGTAGCAGCTAGTTCAGATCAAATATCCTTTCCGTTCGCAGTTATTTTGTCAAAAAAAAAAAAAAAAAAAAAAAAAAAAAAA